TTGTTGTAATAGTGGGGAAAATTGATAGACTTTTTAAACTTATTTTTAGAGTGGAAGAACAGCCTATTTGCTCCTACTTGGAAAAGATTCTTTCTAAAAATATGGAACTGATGGAAAAGAAACTTGTGGACTACATTGATCAGCGAATACTCCAACTCCAGGAGCACATAGATGATAAGATTACCTTGTTAATGGACTTCCTGCATAATCCCAACTTCCCGCCCAATGGGCTGCCTTTGAGACATTGTGACTCTGGAGAAAGACTTTCCAATGGAGAAAGATAAGCTCTCAGCGTACGAGGGCCTGCAGATATTTATTACCTATTTATTACAAAGCCCAAACCTAAAACGTTTATGAAAAGCAAGTATCTGATGTCCTCCGAAGGATCATCGGCTTACTTAAAGTGACCTCGGTGTCCATTTTTACTGCCCTTGTTATTGTAAATCCAGTACTGTACACCAAGAGGTGACCCCATTGTCCTAAGTTATTCTTATTTGCAGTGTTTTTCACTTACAGATTTTTATGTATTCTTGTGTGTTAAATGTTTAAATGCTTATGGATTTCTAATGCAGTTCATTGGTTTGTATTATATGTGTTTGAAGTGAATTTTTTATTTATATGGACACCTTATTTTATAGGCTTAGGAATGTGAAAAATAGTGTTCAGAGTATTTGATATTCTTTATCTACTTGTTCTTGGAAAATTGGATAATTGGAACTTTTAATTCAGGTTACCAATTTACATTTTGTATTGTTTCTCTGAGATAATGAATGAATCACCAGGTTTGATTAGGTGGAAAATTCCTTTACACAAGGCTGTTAGTACTACTTGTTTTATTACAGTGTAAGTATAGATAAGAAAAAAAAAAAATCCAAACCAGCCTATTCCTTTTTAAAATTACTACTTTGGCTTTGGTGTTTGATGTAAAATGGGAGCATTCATTTCATTTGATCTAAGTAACCCCAGTCAATGTAAGGAAGTCTTTCCTTTCTCAAGCTGATACAGGTTCTTCTCCCCAAAGTCCTTCCGGGCATATTTAATGTGTGACATCCTGAGAATTTGCATTGAGTAGTAAGACATATGAATCAAAGAGGTTGCAAGACTCTAGCATATTTAGTCTTCAGAACTTTTAACTGTTGTGTATGTTTCGAAGGGTGATGTATTCACAGCTAAAAATAAATGCATCCACTCTGGAAGCTGCTTGTCTTAGGTAAATGGGAGTCTCATCTTGAACTCAGCTTATATTAAAATGTTTCATTTTTTAGAAAAAGGATTATTCATATCCATTTATTGTTTTGTAAAATTTGTTCTCTAAAATGAGAGTTAATTTATATATGGCTTATTCATTTTTATTTTACTATAAAGTTGACACAGTATAGTAAACTCACTGACCACAGTCTCTTGAGGATTTGCATAACATTTTTCCTACTCCTTTATGGGCCATTATTTATGGGATAAGCATAACAAGTAGTTGTAAGATAGCATTTCTTGTCATTGAGAATAATCTGTCTCAAGGCTAAACTCAGGAGTGCAGACTTACAGCTTCTGGTAGTTTGGGTCTGTTCAATTAGGGGCCCCATTGTGGCCTTCGGTCAGTGGCGGTCGGTCAGAATGCCTTATAGAATGTGGCCACAATTGCTGCATTCAGAGCAAGGACCATGAAGAGAGACACAGACAGGTGAAAGACCAATACTAAATTCTTTCTGCATGTAGTTGATGATAAAATACTGTAACTGAGAAGGAAGATTTTAAAAAGTAGTAATTGCCAATATGAAATTCACAAATTCATGAAATTCTGGGGGGTTTATGTATTTATTAATATATAAAAACTAGTACAATCATGGAACTGTTATTGAATTGGTTCAGTATGTTAAAAAACAAAGATAAAATGCCCATAAAAGTATTTCTATTTCAAATGACTGATTGAGTTTTATTTTCCAATGTGTAGTAGTAACTTTGTCATACTTTAAGTATTATAGTCAAAGAGCTTATGCGGCATTATTTATTAACAGTATTTTCCATAGTTCTCAAAATATATTTGATCAACAAGGAAATTATTTCCTCCTCTGCAATTAAAAGAAAATTCTTTTCTGCCATGTATGTCCTTTATGTAATAAGGTTCATTCACAGATTTTCAGATCTAAAGATGTATTATGCAATGCAAGACTTCATCAATATAGTTTTACAAGTTACTGAATTTAATTTTTTGTTTTCTTATTTAAGAAGACTTTATTGTATGATGACATGTATCCGCCATCATGGTATCATACAGCACAGTTCCACTGCTCTCAAAATCCTCTGTGTTCCTCTTACTCATCTCTTTCACCCCAACTCCTAGCAACCATTAAACTTTTTTTTTTTTTTGGTGCTGAGGATTAAACCTAAGGGTGCTTAACCACTGAGCCACATTCTCAACCCTTTTTTAATTTTTATTTTGAGTTGTGTGGGGCCTGGCTAAATTACTGAGGCTCACTTTGAACTTTCAATGCTCCTGCCTCAGCCTCCGGCATTGCTAAGATTTCAGATGTGCACCACCATGCCTGGCTAAATTTGTTACTGTCTCCATAATTTTGCCTTCTCTAGAATGTTACAGAGTTGGCCTCTTCAGATTGGCTTCTTTCAATTAGCAATATACATTTGCATTTCCTCCCTGTCTTTTCATGGCTTAATAGTTCATTTCGTTTTCACAATAGAAATGTTTTTTTATAAACAAAAATAATAATCTTTTGTAGTGCAGGCATATAATACAAGGATCACAGGACTTTTATAGTTTTATCATTTTCACTTAATAAGTTTTTATAACTTTTTACTTGTGGCTTATCCTTAAAAGCAAAACAAGCTTATCGAGCTTGAGATACATTCAAAACCAGGTGCTTGGATCAGGTGAAGAAAATAATCAAAAGTAGCCAAAATTTATGGTTTGAGTTCCTTTGCTAAATCTCGTGCCCCATTCAATCTCAGAATTCAGGTTCTTGGTTTTTCAAAATTAGATTGTACTGTGGTAAGATAATACTCCATTTTAAAAATAACTTTTTTTCAAATAAGCTTTTATGTGTGACATTGGTTTATTTTATTACCCATTTAGGAATTAAAATACATCACTTACTTAGCAATAACTTATCTAAAGAACTCAAGTAGGGGCTGGGGCTGTGGCTCAGTGGTAGAGCACTCGCCTGGCCTGTGTGAGGCACTGGGTTCTATCCTCAGCACCACATTAATAAATGAATGAATGAATGAATGAATGAATGAATGAATGTATTATGTCCATCTACAACTAAAAAAATTTTAAAAACAAGTAGAACAGGTGTTTTAAAAAATAAGAACATCGCATGTTCATCAAAGACAATATTGGTAAATAGTGAATTATCACTGTATTTATTATTCTTAAAATGTGACTTACATGTTATCAACTGATGGAAATAAAAATTCACTCTGTCAGTTTAGTGAAAAAATAACTCTCAAAGTAATATTTAGAACTTTGGATTTGTTCTCTTTGCAAGATAGCAAACTTCCTTAAGCCTATATTTCTTAAATCCACATGAATTAAAATTAGTTACTTACATAATACCTTTTCTGCTATTATTAATATGTTAGTATTGTATAATTAAAAGCTATTACCTGTTAGAAAAAAGGAAATGTTGACTTTGAGTAAACTGAACCTCTTCTGATTATTTGCCAAGAATTTCCGTTTTTTTTTTTTTGGAAAACTGGCCTGTTTCAAATTCAGTTTGATTATGTGGCTTTTAGCATGAGTGAATCCATATTGGTTAGGTCTGTTCTGCTGGGATCTAGTGCAGGAGCTCAATCCAAAGCAATGACCTCCCATAAATTTTATTATCTTTAGCATGAATTTCATCAACTTGTTAGATTTACCCACCGGATCCTCTTAATTCAGACACAAGAGTAAATCCTGAAATATATTGTTTCATTTTAATTTTGCTCATTAATCACCCATATCCAGCCATTGACCTCACTATCACCCAGTTTGTTAGGAAGGATTTTTCTGAGTTCCAAGTGGAGACAAGAGTGGCTCAAAACTCTGACAGGGGAAACTAAGCTTAGAGAACAGAAGTGCCTCCACTGCTCACTTGGAAAATTGGGCCAGGGCAGGAATCAGGGCTTGGCTCAGTCCTTCTACTACTGAACCTTAACCTTGCAAATGCCCTCTTGTTCCACATCCAGTGCCCCCAACTCTGTGAACCAAATGCTGAGTTGGGGCTCTGAGCCAGGGGTCTGTAAAGAAATTCAGTCACTCACAGGCAATTTAGGGAAGTGGAAGCACGTTTTGCTCTGCATTCTGGATAGTGGACACTTCATTGGCAGTCCACACTTCATGACCATTCAGGAGTACTGGGCTGGATGGAGACTGGAGGCTTGAGGTCCAACAGAGGGAGGAAGGGGCCAGAGCTATGTTCAGGATTTGTGAGCTGGACGGAGTGATGCAATCCCTGTGTGTCTCTGGGAATTCTCTAGAATTCATACTCTCAGGGACTTTTGCCAGGTCTATTATTTTACTAAGTGCCCACCCTGTGACTAACCCCTGGGTCAGGTGGCTACAAACTCAATCTGCTGACTGCATCTCTGGTGCAGCCAGATGATGTGAGACTCTTTTCAGACTCCTTCTGGTCCTTTATGTTCCTCACAGATGGAAGACCTCACGTTGGCCCTGGCAATAGCCATGAGAAGAGTCCATGTTGCCCACAGGAGAGTGTATGACTTTGAAAAGCCTGTGCCCCCAGAGGCAGCCTAGTGCTTCCAGTTCAGGAAGAAATACACATCTGGGTGGACAGTTGCCCTCAGCAGTGAGCATGTGCCAAGATTTGAAAGCTGGTCTGAGCCTTTGAAAAAATCCACATGGAACCACACAATCATTTTCTTCAGAATTTCAAAGAGAAGGTTCTACGTAATAAATCTAACTTAGAACCAGGAGAAATCCTGGGCTCATTCAGAGACGTCGAGTTTCTTTTTTGTCTATGCTGCCAGGAAGATTCAGTCAAAACTCAGTTTTCAAATGTTTTTATTTTTTATACCAGGCACCTAGCAATATGCTATCCCTTCTTGTTATCACCATTCATTCACATGGCCTCTATTTTCTACTTTAACTCTCCTGCTTGTGTTGCAATATAAAATGATGAGCTAGTTGCCTCAAGTACCAAAGTGGTAACACAAAACTTTAGGAAAAGGACATTTAAAACTAACAACAACAACTGAGGCAGGCAGGATTCTTTTCATTATTGTACCTTTATGTGAAAGTACATAAATATCTCATTAGTACATAAATATAAACACTATAGAACTTCAATAATAAGGCTTCTACTAAGAAATATTGTTCACAAATGTGTGTCCACCATTCCCACTTCAGAGCCCCTCATTTGTGCCACAATAGCAAGGTGGCAGGGCATCGTAATCTGCATATAGGCTATATTCGTCACAGCACGGGAGGGCAGGACAAGACTCCATCGTGCCTTTAGGTGGGATGATCTTGCTCTGGAACTTGGTTGGACAGCATTCCTTTGCCGCTCTTAAGAAAAAACATACCAAAGCATGGGCTTAGAATTTTTCTTCACAGTGCATTTCTTACAATTATCAGTGCTATCTGGGAGGTTCAGGGTTGGAGCCACTCAGTCACACCTGTGACACTGCCCTAGCTAACACTCTCTGGTCCTGTGCTAAATTCCTCCCTCATCCTTTCCTACAACTGCTGTGCACGTAAAATCAGGTCACAAGAATAAGGAGAGTGACTTGAAGCAGGGACCCACCAGCTGCTTGCTGTAGGCTCTCAAGACGCAGGAATGATGGGGAAGGTGCCACACTTGGCTGTGACCTGGTCTCTGTATCCATCATCTAACTCCCTAGAATGGGGACACCAGTGCTGCTAACTGCTCTCCACACTTAAGGTCCTCTCCCCAAAACTTACATACCTCCTCTTCGACCCGCACCCCTGTCAGCGGTTCTCTAGCAGACCTGTCCTACAGGTCCACCCCGCTGTTCCCACGGCCTCCAGCAATGGAATGGGGGAACGTCCTGGGAGCTCCCAACTTGGCAAAAGGAGGTCAGTGCGGCCTTCCTCTGAGTGGGAGACAGATCTTGCTCCCACAGTGTCCCCCACATTCAGTCTGCAGCGCCCAGGACAGAGGGAGGCTCAGCCGAGGGGCTGCTAAATACCTGAAGGGAAACTCCGTGAGGTCCAACGACAGCAAAGCTGTGCCGGGACACACAGCCTCTAGGCTGAGAACATTCTACTTAGGAGTCGCAGCCCCAAGCCGGGAGGAAATAACCCCAAGATCCTGTGCCTTTGCCTTCTCCAACCTGTCTGCGGCTCTTGACCTCACCCAGGGAGTGGCTATGGCAGCAAAGAATGAGCAGTCAAGCAGAGAGCTCAGGTGTCCCATCTCAAGGGGACTCACTCTGCCCACATGACTCACTTCAGTATGCTGGAGACTTTGAAGAAAAGACTGAGGACCACGCAGATCAGCACGATGGCCGCAAACAGTAAGCCGGCCCCAATGCCGATGATAATCTTTGTCTTGAGATCAAACATCTTTCACACCTGGGCAGAGAAGTGTAGGCAAGCAGTGAGGGTGGCTTCCCTCCCACATGCCATCAGCAACCTCCACACCTTCGCCCAGGGGAGGAGGAACGGACCCAAACACAGGTCCTTTGTGTGTAAACCTTGAGGGTTCTTCCCAGAGAGGCTGAGCCTGGCCAGGGGTGGGTAAGAGGGCTCACTTTTGTATGAAGAGGAGCTGAGATGCAAAACCCAGACAGAAGGAGTAGAAGGACAGCCAGCCTGGGGACAGACTCTTTGCCTCTCACAGGTTATGGTGGCCCTTAATTATCAGGCCTGCAGTGGAGCTAATGGCTTTGTGCCTGGGCCTCTGAACTGTGTCCACACTTACTCAGAATGACCTCCTGCTATACATAAGCTTGAAAGATGTTTTATGGGACTAATGGAATTACTTCAAAGAATTATTGTCTGACAATATTGATAATATGCAAAGCTATTTTTTAAGTGGTAAATGTTTTAGGGAATAAAAGTTTTAAATCATCCACTGCCAACTGGGTCATGCCATCTCAGAGTTAAGGAGATTCTGGAAGCTTCTGGCCAACCCCTGCCCAAGGCTGAGATGGGGAGTGGCCTGCATGGACCCAGAATCAGCTTCTTCTGGGACCTCTTGTTACTCATCTAATAGACCATGGGTGTTCTTCCTAAATACTCCCCCCACCCCACCAGAAAATCTGATTTGTCTGGGATAAGAGTTTGCTTCATCTCACTCCAAAATTGGGGAGTAAGAGGAGTACATAATCTGACTGACAAGCAGATTAGTTAAACCACAGACAGATAGTTAAACCATCCAGAGGTGGATTAAGGATGCTGTTGCGGGGGGAGGGGGGGCAACTTTGAAGAAGTTATTTTATCAGAAGTTATTTTCTCATACCTGTCATTTGAGAAAGAGGAATCTAATCATTCTGGCAAGAGGAAATAAGGTCTATGGTTGAGAGTGGATGTCTGGAAGCAGTGTGGTCCAGTGGTAGCAGAATGTGCCGACTCCAACATTCATGCCCCAAGCAGTGTGACATCAACCCATAGGATCCCAGCTCCCTACCTCAGAGTTCTGAATTCTGTTCCACATGTAGGTATGTATTAGCTCCTATGAAAAATAAATGCTATTTTGAATCAATTCTAACATTTTCAGTATTTTGACTACTTATCAAAAGCAGATTTAATATTTCAATTGAAGCCTGAGAGACTGTTTCGATTACTAAATGAAATAACATGGAGCCATTTACCAGGATTCAAGCACGTAATTGTTGAAATTGTTAGATTTTCACTTTTTACAGTTAAGATGTTACAAAATGAAAAGTAAAGAGGATACTAGTTCTGATCAGGTTGGCATGATGGGTTCGTCACACTACAGCTGGAACAGTAATATGAACTGAGAGACCCGGGCGGACAAGTGGCATAGGTGTGTTTTCACTTCTGACATGCGCAATTATAATTCCCAGGAATAACATACATCTAAGGAACGAGAACTCTGTTCCTACATGAACAAACATTATATAAGTTCTCATATTAAAGAACTAAATTCACCAAAATATTGAGGGTAAAGCATCTTTTTATGAAAATAGACATCTTAAACAAACATTAAATAAAAAGAAAATTCTTCTATTTATTCCAAACAAGTAGCTTTTCCAGAGTGAATGCATTTATTTTTACATTCAAATATATCACCCTTCAACATATATACATTTGTATCTGTTTTTGTTTTGCTTTTTGGCACTGGGGATTTACCCAGGGGTACTTTACCACTGAGCCATACCTCCAGCTTATCTATCTATCTAATCTATCTATTTATTTATTTATTTGAGGCTAGGTCTTTGCTAAGTTGCTTAGGGCCTCATTAAGTTGCTAAGGCTGGCTTTAAACTTGCAATCTTCCTGCCTCAGCCTCCAGAGTCTCTGGGATTACAGGTGAGCACCACTATGCCCAGCTAGTTTCTGAAGAATCAAGTCTACCAGACAGAACTGGACTCATGTGCTCTAATACTTCAATGCAGACCCTCAACAGTTCATACTCAACATAAGCTAGGAAGGCCTGGGAAAAAGAACCTGTATCAGCTGGAAAAGGAGGCTTCATTATGTGTTCTGGGATGATGAGGTAAGACAAGACAAATTCTTCCATTTTATATCAAACACTGCATCCAAGTATAATCCTAACAAAGAATGGGCCAGTTTTCATTTTTCACTTTCCAATCTGCTGTTACAATGTGATAGAGCATAAAATCAATGGCCCCAATGAGAACTGATCTTTCATTTACCATACATGACATCCATTTTTGAAAGGTGAAGTAAACAACATAAAATATTAAGTTGGTGATCTGAAATTAAATGTTTCAGGTCAAAACACCTGGTTTTCCAAGAACAATCAATTAGGGGAAAAAAGTCAAGTAAGCATTTTTTCATACACTTCAACTATTAAATAAGGTCTTTGTACAAATTAAAATAGTACTTCAAACACATACAATACAAACTAATGAAATGCATTAGAAATCTTTAAATATTTAAAACCCTTAAGCAACACAAGAATACATAAAAATCTGTAAGTGAAAAACACTGCAAATAAGAATAACTTAGGACAATGGGGTCACCTCTTGGTGTACAGTACTGGATTTACAATAACAAGGGCAGTAAAAATGGACACCGAGGTCACTTTATGTAAGCCGATGATCCTTCGGAGGACATCAGATACTTGCTTTTCATAAACGTTTTAGGTTTGGGCTTTGTAATAAATAGGTAATAAATATCTGCAGGCCCTCGTACGCTGAGAGCTTATCTTTCTCCATTGGAAAGTCTTTCTCCAGAGTCACAATGTCTCAAAGGCAGCCCATTGGGCGGGGAGTTGGGATTCTGCAGGAAGTCCATTAACAAGGTAATCTTATCATCTATGTGCTCCTGGAGTTGGAGTATTCGCTGATCAATGTAGTCCACAAGTTTCTTTTCCATCAGTTCCATATTTTTAGAAAGAATCTTTTCCAAGTAGGAGCAAATAGGCTGTTCTTCCACTCTAAAAATAAGTTTAAAAAGTCTATCAATTTTCCCCACTATTACAACAAAAACAAGCAAGCTATGCAACCAGTGGCCAAGGAACATGGCTGAAACTTGTCTCCACAACTGCACTGCCCCTGTGACTCATTTCCCAGGATGCAAAACACATGCAATAGGTGACCACAGCCCTTAATGCCCAACACACTCCTTACTTCTTATTAAGTATTCAGTTGAAGTGGGAACATAAAAATGAAGACACATCTTCAAAAACAAACCTTGGGGAATGCCCTTTTTAAGTTCCAAACAAAAACTGATTTTGTCCAATTTAAAAAAAAAAAATGTATCTTTTCCAGGTATTCTTTCAAAGCAACCCTATAATTCATATAGCTTTTTCCTCTTAAATACAAACAACCTTACTAAAACACTAGAAGGTTCTTTGCTAACCTGATCTGAAAATGTTTATGAATTTAACTAGGATAGACAAACAAAAATTAATAGGATCAAAAGTACACCGATTTCTAAAAATCCACAACGCTTAGGGTTTCCATAATTGTTTCAGGAGCTCAATGAGGAAAAAGTACTTTTCCAGAGCCTATACAATGTATGCCACTGCTCTAATTTCTAAGAGAAATCAAGGCTGTGAATTCTCTTTAGAATTTCCTCAGGTAATTTAAATATGTATGTTTTCAGAGGTTAACTATTCTCGGTATTCCTACTGTTCTCATACTAGCTATGTTTAATTACACATGCTAGAGAGTAACACGTAAGAGAATGTGCCCAAGAGCTGATATAGATTTGCATAAATTTAAGACAACATTCTTCTTGTTAAATGTTTTAAAAGTTTGACTGTTTCTTATTTACGTTGACATGAAAAGGTTTAACTATTATTTTTAAACAAATATTTTATATAGCTGTAAAACTAAAAGATTTTAGGAGTCCTCAAGATTGTAAACACCAATAAGTTTGATCTTGGCATAATGCCCTGCAGAGCCATTTAAATTGTTGTTCATGATATGGACGCGCTACTGCCCAGTCTGTTTAACCATTCACCTACCATGAGACATTTTGATTGTTTTTTGTCTGGCACTATTACAAATAAAGTTCTCATGAACAATTGCGTAGAGCATTTTAATGTTGCCACATCTTTTCATTTCTTTGGGATAAATGCCCAGGATTAGGACTAATGGGTTGTATGGTAACTGGGTGTTTAGTTGTTAAGAAACTGCCCAGATATGTTTTTAGGGTGGTTGTACCATTTTAATTCCCGCCAGCAAGGAATGAGATCCGGTTCCTCTATATGCTTGTCAACATTTGGTATTCTTATTATTTATAATTTTAAATTTTAGTCATTCAAATAGATATATAGAGATATCTTGTGGGGTTTTTTAATATTTATTTTTTAGTTATAGGGGGACACAATATCTTTATTTTATTTTTATGTGGTGCTAAGGATCGAACCCAGTCCTTCACGCATGGTAGGCGAGCACTCTACCTCTGAGCCACAACCTCAGCCCTACCTTGTGGTTTTAATAAGCATTTCTCTAACAGCAGTGAAGTCACTGTTGATCACCTTTTCCTGGGCTTATTTGCTATTTATATATCCATCCTCCTGATGATTCTTCACATATCTATTATCCATGTTCTAATTAGATGGTATTTTAAAAGACAAATCTTGCAAATCCTTCATATATTTTAGATACAAGGCATTTGTTGGGTTCGTGATTTACAAATATTTTCTCCCAGTCTGTATTAATCCTCTTACTGGGGCCTTTCATATGTAAAACTTGTAAATATTAAATGGGCTCTACATACATATTTTATGGATCATGCTTTTGGTGACCTCGAAGAATTATCTTCCTAGGTCCCTAAAAATTTCTCCCATATATTAAGATTTTACAGTTTTATACTTAACATTTTAGCTTATGCTCCATTGTGTGTTAATTTTCATATATCTGCATTCATGGTTCATATTTTAGCCTGTGACTCTCCAATTGTTCCAGCATCACATGCTAGACGATCATCCTTCCTCCACTGAATGACTTTTGCACATTGGTAGAAGGCTGACAGGTATACTTCTGTAGAGCGATTTCTGTGCTTTCTGTTCATCTATGTGTCTAGCTGTCTTGCCAAAACAGACTCTTGAAATCCAGTAGTGATTTCTCTCTATTCTAATTCCAGTACTGTTGTCTTTCCACTTAGAATTTTCCACTTCCAGATTTTGGAATCATCTTATTCATATTTACAAAAAATACATGTTGTACTTCTGATAGAAATTGTGCTAAACATATATATATATCAATTAGGGGAAAACTGACATTTTTACTGTTGAGTCTTCAACAGTACCATGAATACGGTATTTGCTCCATTTTTGGGGTCTTCTTTCATTTCTTTCATCACTATTTAACAATTTTCAGGTCATAAGGTCCTCTATGTCTTTTGTCAGATTTTTATGTACAATTATGTTTTACATTCATTTATATGTACTTATTTCTTTGGGGATAATTTAGTCTGGGTAGCAGAGTAATGCTGGCTTCATGAAATGAGTTGGGAAGTCTTCCCTCCTCTTCTATTTTTTGGAAATGTGTAAAAGTGGTTTTCTTTAAATGTTTGGCAGAATTCTTGAGTGAAAGCATTTGGGACAGGACATTTCTTTTTCACGATCTCTTCAATTTCGAATATAGTATTTAGTGCCATAGACGTGTTCCATTATTTATTTCATGTTGGTTGAGTTTGATAATTTGTGTTTTCTAAGGAATTAATCCCTTTCCTCCTAGTTGTCAATCAAATTGTTACAACATTCCCTTATCTTGATTATGGCTTGAGGCCCTGTAATGGTATATTTCCCATTACATTCCTCAGATTGGTGATTTGGGTCATCTCTTATTTGCCAGTCTTGTTAGAAATTTGTCAATTTTACTGAAATTTTCAAAGAACCAGCTTTTTAATTGATTTTTTTTCAATTAAATAGATTTCTGCTCTTTATTGTTTCATTCTTCTGCTTGCTTTGGGTTCCTTTTGCTTGGCTTTTAAATGAAAAATTCAATTTCTTTAGTGCTATTAAGACTATTCA